CTAGTGTCATTTATGCTATCTAGCGACTACATTGTCGACAGCAGACAGTGGCGCAGTGCTATGCCACGACTTTCCATTTCGCATCATAAATATTTGCAAAAATAAGAACGAGAAAATGTTACAATTGACTTGACGATTAGGAAGAATCATAACATAGGCAGATCTCTACAGCATAAGCGGTTGCTTAGAATAAATTTTACTCTGTTTTACTGAAATTTCAGGAGACTATAAGAAAATAGGTAAGCATTCTAATGGCAATGAGGGACTAGCATTGGCAAAGCAAAAAAGTACAACTGACTAGATGTGCCTAAATGTTATGTAGTTTCATACTTCTCGAAACTCCATAAAGCGAACCTATGAGGCGCTGAACAATAAGGCACATACACTGCGAAATTGTTTGAATTTGAGCTATAACTCTATACAATATGCGCTGAGAGTAGAAGTTGTATTCTTGGCGCCCTTCATGAATTCTTGCAGACGATTTCAAATCCCGTCCGATTCCCGAATTTGCGAAGCGCTTAACTGGGCGGGATCTTGTCGACTATGTGAACTATGTCCAACCATTCTTTACGGTAAATTGCATCAGTTTCGCTATGCATTGATATGTTATCGACCTATATCTAGGTAAACTATTCCACCGTGCGCAGACCTCCACCAATGGACCTAACGTACCTAGACGATCCAGAGGGATTTACACAATTCAGAACAGTCAGAACAGAGGCGCGCGAAGGAAATATTCCAGAAAGGTGATAATTACCAGGATGTAAGAAAAGCTGCAGCAATATTCGAGTATTATAATACTCCCAAAAGATGATTTACAAAAAAATTGAGAATCGGAAAACATCTTTCAGAGTCATGTTACTTTCAGTTTTGATGCCCGTGAACGCTGGCCAAGATGCGAATCTATAAAACTTATTCGTGACCAAGCCAATTGCGGTACCTTGTTTTTAAATATAAAGTAGCTCTTTTCCTGCCAAAGATCATGCACATCAGGTTCTTGTTGGGCTGTTTCAACAGCTTCAGTTATGTCTGATAGATTCTGTATTCATACGAATCAACAAAGGCAGGTGAGGCATTTTTGGAAAAATGGGAGAAATTGCGAATAAAACATCTCTTGTAGGACTTATTTTCTTCCACGGATGTCCTCTCATGCTGTGGCCAGTTCTGCGGTTATGGGTAATTTTTTTAGAAAAAAAGAGAATTATCAATTTTCTTCTTGAATGTCTTGTCCAAAATTCCGTTTTGAATCACTCTTATTCTTTTCTTGTTTCAGAT